GCGTCTATCGGTGGCTTCGGTGCTATGGGCTGCCAGTACCAGCTCCAAACCGGGCCCCTTTTGTGGCACTGTGTGATGCCGCCCGCACCCAACCGCCCGCTGCTTCCGCCGCCTCGACGACCTTTTCCGTCGCCGCTTCGTCCCGGCCACGGACCTCCCCGACTGGCCCAGTCTGCTATGCCATAGTGTGCCTGTTTTGACTCAGACATGGATCAGATTAGTTCTGCCTTGCATTCTCTGTACGCTGACGCTTCTCGTTTGTCTGGATCTTATTACCATGTGTTCGCTAGCTTAGGCATAGCACTTGTGTGTAGTATAGACTCCCCTGATGCGTCAGGGTAGGACCGTTTGCTTTGTCTAGCCTAGGCTCCACACTCGCTCCTCCTTCGGCTGCCGCTTCTACTTCGCTGTCCTCCACACTACTCCGGTGCGTCTGCCTGCTTCTTCCGCGACCACGCTGCGCTTACACCGCTTGCCGCGCCTGCCGCTGTCGCACTTGCTGACCCCTCGTTTGGTCCTGTAGCTGCTCGCAGCTACACTACCCTTCCCTGTCCATCGGTTCCCTCTGGTTCCCTTACAGGCCTGCACATCCCCTCGTTCTCCCAGAACTTAGTTGGTATCGGCTGTCTTCAGGACCTCGGCGCCACCACTACGTTCCCCGGTCACGCGCGGTACAAGGTCTGTACCGAGGCCGCCTAAGGTTCCCACCTCATGACGTTCCATCGGGACCCGGTGTCTGGCCTCTTTACGCTGGACACTGCTTCCCCCCTGGGTGGACCGTCCCCCCCCGGTCCTACTTCTACCCAGGTCGCCGCTACGTGCTCGTGTCGGTCGCTCACTCACCCGTCGCTTCTGTGGCACCACCGCCTAGGTCACCCCGCGCTCACGCATTTGCGTCACATGTCCCAGCACGGTCTCGTCCTAGGCCTCCCTGCGTCGATTCCTGCCCTCCCTCCCTCGCCTGCGCCTCCGTGCACGCCCTGCGTTGAGGGCTGCATGTACCATGCTCCTCACTCCTCCTCGCTTTGTCCTGCCACCGCACCCCTCTAGACCCTGCACCTGGACGTCTGGGGCCCAGCCCCCGTCCCTGGACCGCGTCGCAAGCGCTACTTCCTCGTGCTCGTCGATGACTACACCACGAAGTTTCCTCTGGAGCAGAAGGCCGACGTGCCTGAAGTTCTTATCCCATGGGTCGTAGCTGCGCGCCTCCACTGCGGTCTCCCTGTGCTGTGTCTCCACTCCGACCGTGGCGGTGAGTTTGCCTCTGGTCGGCTTGAACAGTTCTATCGTGCGGAGGGTATCACCCAGGCGTACACCCTTCCAGACTCCTCGCAGCAGAATGGGGTCGCTGAGCAACGAATCGGCTTGGTCATGGAGGTGGCTCATACCTTCATGATTCATGCCGGTGCACCCCATTTTCTGTGGCCATTCGCCATTCGCTACACCGCTCACCAGCATTACCTCTGGCCGCGCTCTCAACAGCCGCAGGTTTTGCCGACCCTTCTTTGGACTGGGTTCCCTGGTGACGCATCCGCGTTCCACGCCTGGGGCTGCCTTGCTCACGTTCGTGCCTCTGTCATGGACAAGATCACCACCCGCACTGCCCCCTGGGTCTTCCTCGGTTTCCCCCTGGACTCCTCTGACTGGCATTTTTACCACCCGCCGTCTCACCAATCTTTCACTTCTGTCACGCCACTTTCAACGAGTTTGTCTCCTTTTACCACCGCTTTCCTCACCGAGGTCTCCCAGTTTCCCCTCCCTTTTTTCTTGTCCCCACTCCCCCGGTAGCCCCGGCTCACCTTCCTCCCTGTCCTGCAACAGCTGGTGTGTCTCATGTCACTCCCCTCCCGTTGGTTGTCCCGGTCGAGGAGTCGGCTGACTTTGGTAGCCCTGCGGCACAGTTCTGCTGCCTGTCTCTCCCCCGGTGTCTCCTCCTACGCTGTCGCAGTCGCCGCCGCAGTAGCAGCCGCCGCCTCCGCGGCAGCCGCCGCCACCGCAGTCGCCGCCGCCGTCGCAGCAGCAGCAGCCGTTTGTGGCCTCTAGGGGTGCTAGCGTTGAGGAGGGTGCTAGTCCTAGGGTTCCTGCCGTGGCTTGTCCCGGCGGGGTCGAGGGTGGCACGGGTGATAAAGAGAGTTCTCGCTCTGGGGGTACTTGTTCTGGGGGAGCTGGAGTGGAGTGTTTTGGAGGTAGCGGCGGTGCAGCTGGCAGTCCCGGTGTCGGCGTCGAGTAGCAGCAGCAGCAGTCGCCACTAGTATCCGCCCTTCGCCTGCTCGGTTTTCCCTCCCCTGACCACTTGCCTGCACCCCCCTCACCACCTCCTCCCCTTCCTGTCCACGGTCCATGCAGCGCCATCTGCGAGGCGAGAACGTCTGTTTCACAGTCTGATCCGACGCCGAGTACGGGAAGCCACTCTCGTCTCATCCCCGACCCCAATGCACTTCTTGCTGAACTGAAGGCGAAGGCCGAAGAGCATTGGGTGCGAAAATTCCCCTGGCTGCTCATCGACCAACGCCCCAACGGACGTCCGTGCATGAAGTGTCGATTGTGCATGGCGCACGCTCCTCCGAAGTGGCAGTACGGCAAGTACGGCAATGGAGGTGTTGATATTCAGAAGCAGACGATGGTGAAGCACTCCCAAAGCAAGAAGCACGAGGCTATGGAGGATCGGTAGAAACAGCTGGATGGGCGAGCATTGTTGACTTCAATGACAATCAGGGAGCTGACGCGCGGCTCAGGCAGTTGATGCTTGTTGTGCTTTGGATTTGCAAGTTCGATGCTTCTATTGCCATGTTTGTTTCTCTGGTCCGTCTTCTCTATGATCTCCGCACTCCCCGAGAAATCCCCCGGGTCTTACCAATCTGAGTAAGTTGGGCTCTGCTATCGTTTTGGTTAACTCTAATGTTAAAAACTCTCTAACCGTTGTTTTTTTCCTGCTGCAGGTACGGCTTCAAGCAAATCACAGAAGCACTCGTCGTTTACCTACAAGCACAGCAGATGAAGCACATTCAACAGTCGCCGTTCGTGGGCATCCAGCTGGATGAGAGCACTGACAGGAGGTGGGGTAAACACATGATTGTGTACCTCACCTTCTTGAAGAGCGCCAAGGTGGTGACCGAGTTTTTCGGGCACCTAACAGTTGAGAGGTGTGATGCGAGCTCTCTACTGACGCTGCTGCTGGACCACCTTGAAGCCACCGCCGTAGACCTGAACAAGATCAGTGGCATCAGCACTGATGGAGCCATCGTCGTGACGGGGGCGAACCGGGGCCTTGTCGCTCAGCTCCGCGCCAGGGTCCCGCATCTCGTGTCCTGTCATTGCATCGCCCACAGGTGAGCATGTTGAATCATACAATTGTATAGTGGTACCCTGGCATCCAGAAACATCGTTAATCCTTATTATGTGCTCTTTGCAGAGAGGCGCTCGCGGCTAAGGACGTTGCCAACGATTGTCCCGACCTCGAGATCGTCGACAAAGTTGTCCGAAGCCTAGCCGACATCCTTGGCCGCTCCATTGTCGTGCACTCAAGATTCCAGGAGCTGCTGAGTTTCATCCACGACACGACACTTGAAATGCAGGGTATCAAAGACATTCGTTGGTTGTCTCGCGGTGATGCCATTCAGCGTCTCGTGCAAGCCTTACCGGCTGCAGTGTTGCTGTTGTATGAGTTCGGTGATGACATGTACCATGTCGTTAGCAGCTTTAAGTTCCACTTCCTTCTGTTTTTCCTAGCTGATGTTCTCAAGGAGCTCAACAACTTGAACAAGAAGTTCCTGCGCCGTACTGTGGGTGTTTGCCCTGCGTGCGCTTTTTAATATCTTGTTCCTAAAATTTATAAACTTTGTGCTGTCCCTTCAACTAATTTACCTTATGCCCTTCCCACAAGTCGCCATCACCAAGGTGGCCCAGCTAGTAGAGAACACATGAAGCATCCTCCGCTCTCGCTACGTGGAGTATGGCGTCAACTTCGGCGAGGATTCCAAGCTACTCACGGAGTTTTTGGAGGAGCATGGCCCGAAGAACAAGCGGATGGTGACAGTGGAGGGCATTGACAGCGCTGGCAACCCGACGGCTCACACCTTTAAGCTGCATGAGAAAGCTCTGCCAGGCCAGAAGAGTGAGGGAGGCATGGAGCCATGCATCTCCCTTATCACCCTTTTTCTGCATCTCATCATCCGCAACTTGGAGTCGCGGATGGAGAGCCTCAACAGTCTCCGTGGGTCGAAAATGTTCTTCCCCGACGCCTACCCCGACTCCGTCGCAAAGCGCGACCGTCTGTGCGCCGAGTGGTTCGGTTCACTAAAGGTCCTCTTCAACGCCAAACAGTGTGCCTTGCCGGGTGAGGATTTCTCCACTCAACCTTACATTAACCATGCACTTGGAAGCCCTCACCCCCCCTCCCACCTTGTGATGTGTCAGGGTGTGACTTACATTATGACTAGTGGTTATTTACCCTCCCTTGTTCAGGAGTTGATTGGGGCAATGCAGAAAGGGAGCTGCCCCGATTCACATGCATGCTCCACGGTCATTACAAGGATACGTCATTCCACAACTGCTTGAAGAATATTCTCAGATCCGAAGACTGGTACACCTCCTACCCCAACCTCGTCTGCTTGTGGGTGGCTGTTGCTGTTCCGCCTCTCAGCACAGTAGAGTTCGAGCGCGGCTTCAGCCGTCAGAACATCATTAAGTCTTGGTTGCGTGTTAATTTGTGCGATGCCCGACTGACCGACCTGATGTGCATTTCGTTGCTAGAGTACCCGATGATGTGGGAAGATGCCATGGCTCACTTCCGTGCTCCAGTGCAGCGGCGGCAGGCAACAAATGTCGTGATGCCCCCCCCCCCCCCCCGAGCCGCCTCTCAGCTAGAAGAGGAAGAAAGACAAGGCGGTCAGCAAGAAGAAGCGTCTGAAGAACGATGATGAGGCCGTAGACGTGCGCGGCACTATAAATGTAGATTGTGATTCTGAGTAGGTAATATCGTTTTTGGCCTAATGATTAGGTGAAATACTTAGAAATGCAAGGCTGAAACTTCTGATTCCTAGAAACTCTACTATAAAACCTCTGATTATTCAGAAACTGAAAGATCGGGCGTCTGATGATCAGACGGGAGCCCTGCCTGACATGGTCTACCTTCTGGTAGGGGAGGCTCTTTTGTCAACTAAAATTGACTACAAGGAACTACCTACCATACCGTGTAGATTTTACCTACCGTATATGCCCTCTTTAGTCTGTATTTCTCTAGATGAATTAATAGGTTGGCTTAATGATCAGACTACTGTACTTCCACTGCCACGACATGCCACCATACAACTTGTGCAGCTCTCTTGGCTCCGTTGGTAAACTTGGTATATCAACACGTGCCGCTCGTGCTTAAGTATCGTGTGGATGAAGGCCTTGCCTCGCTCTGTAAGCCTTATTTGGCACAGCTTCTGCAGTGTCCTCTTGCCGCCTTTGATCATAGTCTGAAGTTCCCACTCGCCCCATCGTCAGGCCCGTATCCTCTCCCCTGCAGCAGCGGCTGCGTCCCAGCCGTTGCAGGAGACGGCACTCTCACTGGCCCTCCCCCCACTGCCGCCCCCCCTGACAACCGAAACTCAGCCTCAGGTGAAAGCCCAGGTGAGAAGTCAGGTGCATCTTCAAACGCCAGCTCGTCCGTGCTGTCCGCTCTAGGGTACGGCTCGGGGTGCCCTACAGGGGACATCCCTCTCGCCGCTCTATCCGCAGCACCTGCTGGCAGGGGGCTCGAAGCGCGTAACGCAGTTACCGCCGGTTGTTCCGGTGCTGGTGACGCCTGTGCACTGCGCGGATGCCGCTTCACTGCCACCAACTTCACCTGCGGCGACTCCCTCTCTCTCCTCTCCATCTCCCCACTCCTCCTCCCCCCCCTGCTGCTGTCCTTCTCCCTGCCCTTCCCTCCTTCCCCTGAGATACCAGGGCTAGCAGCATCCTTTCTCTTCTCCTTCCCCTCGTCCGACTCCCCTCCTGACCCCGTCTCCCCGTCCTTGCCCCCCGGCCCACCCTTGTCGTCCCCTTTACCCCCTCTGCTGTCCTCCCCGCCCTCCCCGTGCTGCTCCTCGTCCATCAGCTGGAACGCCGACTGCAGCGACGGGTGCAGGTAGGCCCGCGCCAGGAAGGACGACGGGTCCAGGTCCGGGCTGATGGTGCGGTCGATGGTGTCCTTACGGTTCGCCTCCTGTAGGGGGGAAGAAATGGGGGAGGGGAAGAAGGAAGAGGGATTTAGAAGGAAGGACGAGGGGACCAGGGCAGGGCTGATGGTACGGTCGATGGTGTTGGTGCGGTAGGAAGGGGGGGAAGGGTGGGGAGGGGTGGGGAGTGAATGGGGGAACGGTAAGGGGAATGAAGGGGGAGGGTTTAAGGAAGGAAGGCGGAGTGTTGAGGGCAGGGCTGATGGTGCGGTCGATGGTGTCCTTGCCGTCGGCCTCCTGGAGGAAAAGGGGAAGGGTGGACTGGGGGGTTTGATGGACGCACGCTGGACAGCAGGGAGCACGATATGCTCCTTGCATGGCATGCTCTCTGTGCCCTGCTCCCTGTGGGATGACTTTTGAGTCGACTCAGAAGGCATGCTGGACAGCAGGGAACACGATATGCTCCTTGTATGGCATGCTCTCTCCCTGTGCCCTGCTCCCTCTGGCCCTAGCCCTTTATCCCCCATGCCACTTGCCTCGAGGGCGTATTTGGAGAAGTTCGAGTTGAAGGGTCCGTCGATGAACACATAGTGGAATGCGATGGTCACGATGGGCAGGGGGATGAGGAACCACACCTGCACATGGGGGTGGAACGAGGGTTAGGGGCACGAAATGCCACACCTGCTACGATAACAAGAGGGGGCTAGGATGTCCGAACACACAATGAGAAGCAGTGCCATGCAACGAGCAGCAGCAGCAGCGGCAGCGGCAGTCGCAGCGGCAGTGGCAGCAGCACGGCTCACCTGCAGTGAGGCAACCAGGGGATGCTGGACAGCAGCAGCAATAGCAACACCACGACTCACCTGCGTCGAGGCTTCTTTGAGTGCGAGCACCCCAATGAGCGTGAGGTGCTGGATGATCATGGAGGCGATGAGGCGCGCATGGAAGTGCGGCCAGTACGCGCCCGCTGTCTCGTACTCCGCATTGTACACGTTGATCATCTGGGGGGTATTGGGGGGTGGGGGGAGAGGGTGGAGAAGGGACTTAGGCGCCTAAAAAACAGGTGTCCATAGAAGTCAATGCCAATAAGCGCCCGCTGTCTCGTACTCGGCGTCGGACATGTTGATCAACTTGGGAGGAATAGGAGGGCAGGAGAGGAAGAGGGGATGGAGGGTAGGAGGAGGGGAATAGAGGGGAGAGAAGGGGAGTGGGACAAGGATAGGTTTGCACTCCATGTTGATCAACTGGGGGGGGGATAGGAGGAGAGGGGAGGATGAAACAGATCGCGAATGGATGAAGCACCATTTTCCTCGCGATGCACCTCATTAGGATGAAGAGACGCATCGACTTAATGAGGTGCATAGCGAGGGGTTTCTTCTCATTCATTCCTTCCTGGTTACGCTTTTGGACCTCCGCCTGGTTAGCTCCAGCCCATCTAGCCCCTAGTGGGCCCCACCTGACAGTGCTAACCCCATCTGGCCCCCCACCTGGTTGGCGATAGCCCCATCCAGCCCCCCCCTCGTTGTATTAGCCTCGTCTTAACCCCCCACCTCGTTGCGGTCGCCTCATCTAGCCCCTAATGAGCCCCTCCTGGTTGTGATATCCCCATCTAGCCCCTAATGAGCCCCTCCTGGTTGTGATATCCCCATCTAGCCCCTAATGAGCCCCTCCTGGTTGTGATATCCCCATCTAGCCCCTAATGAGCCCCTCCTGGTTGTGATATCCCCAACTAGCCCCTAATGTCCCCCACCTGGTTGTACTAGCCCCATCCAGCCCCTAGTTCCCCCCACCTGGTTTCGGTATTTCCATCCAGCACCCCACCTGGTTTCGGTATTTACATTGAGCCCCCCACCTGGTTGCGGTAGCCGATGAAGGCGAGGACGAAGAAAACAACAGCGAAGATCAGGTAGAGCGGGTTCGACACGCAGTACACAAAGGGCAGCAGGAAGTAGAGCTCCACCTAAGAACATATTGCGGGGTGGGAGGGAAGGGAAAAACATATTAGACGAAGGTCAGCGTGCTGGAAGCGGAAGGAGAACTCCGGGGCTGCAGTAAGTTGAGAATGGTGGCAGCACAAACATAGTGGCAGGCTAGCAGCACAAACATAGTGGTAGGCTAGCAGCACAAACATAGTGGCTGGCTAGCAGCACAAACATAGTGGCAGGCTAGCAGCACAAACATAGTGGCAGGCTGGCAGCACAAACATAGTGGCAGGCTGGCAGCACAAACATAGCGGCAGGCTGGCAGCACAAACATAGCGGCAGGCTGGCAGCACAAACATAGTGGCAGGCTGGCAGCACAAACATAGTGGCAGGCTAGCAGCACAAACATAGTGGCAGGCTAGCAGCACAAACATAGTGGCAGGCTGGCAGCACAAACATAGCGGCAGGCTGGCAGCACAAACATAGCGGCAGGCTGGCAGCACAAACATAGTGGCAGGCTGGCAGCACAAACATAGTGGCAGGCTAGCAGCACAAACATAGTGGCAGGCTAGCAGCACAAACATAGTGGCAGGCTAGCAGCACAAACATAGTGGCAGGCTGGCAGCACAAACATAGTGGCAGGCTAGCAGCACAAACATAGTGGCAGGCTAGCAGCACAACATAGTGGCTGGCTAGCAGCACAAACATAGTGGCAGGCTGGCAGCACAAACATAGTGGCAGGCTGGCAGCACAAACATAGTGGCAGGCTAGCAGCACAAACATAGTGGCAGGCTAGCAGCACAACATAGTGGCTGGCTAGCAGCACAAACATAGTGGCAGGCTGGCAGCACAAACATAGTGGCAGGCTGGCAGCACAAACATAGTGGCAGGCTAGCAGCACAAACATAGTGGCAGGCTAGCAGCACAAACATAGTGGCAGGCTGGCAGCACAAACATAGTGGCAGGCTGGCAGCACAAACATAGCGGCAGGCTGGCAGCACAAACATAGTGGCAGGCTGGCAGCACAAACATAGTGGCAGGCTAGCAGCACAACATAGTGGCTGGCTAGCAGCACAAACATAGTGGCAGGCTGGCAGCACAAACATAGTGGCAGGCTGGCAGCACAAACATAGTGGCAGGCTAGCAGCACAAACATAGTGGCAGGCTAGCAGCACAACATAGTGGCTGGCTAGCAGCACAAACATAGTGGCAGGCTGGCAGCACAAACATAGTGGCAGGCTAGCAGCACAAACATAGTGGCAGGCTAGCAGCACAACATAGTGGCTGGCTAGCAGCACAAACATAGTGGCAGGCTGGCAGCACAAACATAGTGGCAGGCTGGCAGCACAAACATAGTGGCAGGCTAGCAGCACAAACATAGTGGCAGGCTAGCAGCACAAACATAGTGGCAGGCTGGCAGCACAAACATAGTGGCAGGCTGGCAGCACAAACATAGCGGCAGGCTGGCAGCACAAACATAGCGGCAGGCTGGCAGCAGCAACATGGGGCTCAGAGGGTGAGTGATACTTCAAGGGGAGCAGAAAGGAGCTGGGCTGCACCTGTTACAGAGTGTTGTGTCGAGTCGATGAGCGTGAGAGTGGTTTTGAGTCGACTCACAAGGGGCACTAAGGAGAAGGGATGTACCTGGTACAGAGTGTTGATGGGCGTAAGTGGTCCTTAAGTTGACTGAAAAGAGGGGCACTGAGGAGAAGAGCAGTACCTGGTACAGAGTTTCAATGAGCGTGAGTGGCGAGGGGTTCATGACCTTGATGCGGTCTGCTGGGGTCCGCACCAGCAGATTATTCTGAGAAGGGGAGAGGGGGGGAGGTGCGGGGGGGGGGGATGAGGGTAGGATAGAGAACGGGAAGTGGGCGTTAATGAGTGCCAGTGGGGTGGGGAGGGGACCATCACCTTTAGGCGGTCAGCTGGGGTCCGAACCAGCAGATTGTTCTTCTGAATGGGGGATATGCAGCCAGGGGATATGCAGCCAGGGGAGATGCAGCCAGGGGAGTATGACTGGGAGAAGAGGCTCAAGCAGAGCCTCAGGCACAGTTAGCCTGCAGTGGGGGATCAAACGTTCTGAAGCAGGCTGGTGCTGTTGCTGATGCTATTGGCCCGAAGAAAGCGGTGGTCAACGAGGAGAAGAGACAGATAGCCAGAAAACTTGGCAGTCCTGCCAATGACTGAAGAGAGCTCACCCTAATGTGGAACATGATGAGTGCCACCAATTGAAGCACCTCCATGGCCATGCCGGCCAGCCTCTAGGTGTTGCAACCACAGGCAAATACTACGGCCATTCACACACCCCATGCACCATACTCACCTTAATGTGGACCATGACGAGTGGCACGAGCTGAAGCACCTCCATGGCCTTGCCGGTCCAGCCCCTAGGCCCAGCCCTTAGGTCCAGCCAACACAGACAAAACGGTGATTCACACATCCTACGCATCTCGCAGCTCACCTTGGTGTAGAACATGCCCAGCCTCCATGGCCATGCCCGTCCAGCCTCTAGGTCCAGCCAACACAGACAGATACTGCAATGATTCACACACCCTAAGCATCACCCTCTCCTTGGTGTGGAACATGACGAGCGGCACCAGCTGCAGCACCTCCATGGCCATGCTGGTCCAGCCTCGAGGTCTAGCAACCACAGGCTGATGGTTTACACATGCTGCACATCAAGCACAGCCCCTCACCTTGATGTGGAACATGACGAGCGGCACCAGCTGCAGCACCTCCATGGCCATGCCGGTCCAGCCTCGAGGTCTAGCAACCACAGGCTGATAGTTTACACATGCTGCACATCAAGCACAGCCCCTCACCTTGATGTGGAACATGACGAGCGGCACCAGCTGCAGCACCTCCATGGCCATGCCGGTCCAGCCTCGAGGTCTAGCAACCACAGGCTGATAGTTTACACATGCTGCACATCAAGCACAGCCCCTCACCTTGATGTGGAACATGACAAGCGGCACCAGCTGCAGCACCTCCATGGCCATGCCGGTCCAGCCTCGAGGTCTAGCAACCACAGGCTGATAGTTTACACATGCTGCACATCAAGCACAGCCCCTCACCTTGATGTGGAACATGACGAGCGGCACCAGCTGCAGCACCTCCATGGCCATGCCGGTCCAGCCTCGAGGTCTAGCAACCACAGGCTGATGGTTTACACATGCTGCACATCAAGCACAGCCCCTCACCTTGATGTGGAACATGACAAGCGGCACCAGCTGCAGCACCTCCATGGCCATGCCGGTCCAGCCGTCCAGCATGGTGTAGGTCATGAAGAACGTGGCCTTGGTGGGGATGCGGTCGCCCAGGATCTGGGGGACGCTGGCAGAGGGAATAGGGGAAACACGGGGTAACAGGGTAACAGAGAGAAACAGAGAGAAGCAGAGGAAGCAGAGGAAGCAGAAGACGCAGGGAGGAATAGATTGAGTGTCCAGCATGGTGAGGGTGATGAAGAAGGTGGCCTTGGTGGGGATGTGGTTGCCCAGGATCTGCGGCACACTGGGGGGATGGAGGGGAGGGAGTAGGGGAAACAGAAGGGACCAGAGGGAAGCAGGGGAAGAAGAGGAAGCAGGGAAGCATGGATTGAGTTTGTAGCATGGTTTAGGTGATGAAGAGGGTGGCCTTGGTGGTGGGGATGCGGTCGCCCAGGATCTGTGGCACGCTGGGAGAGTGGAGGGGTGACTTTTGAGTTGACTTAAAGCGAGGATCTCGAAACCTCCGAAAGTTAAAACCTCAGGTTTTGAGCCCCAGCCAAAATGCCCCCCGAGTCAAAACCTAAGTTTTTGAGTTGGGGGGTTTCGAGATCCGCGCTTAAAAAGTCACCAGGATCTAGAGCATGCTGGTAGAGTGGAGGGGAGGGGTAGGGGAAACAGAGGAGACAGAGGAAGCAGAACAAGCAGGGACGCTTGATTGAGTGACCAGCACAGGGTGATGACGAAGGTAGCCTATGTGGGGATGCAGTTGCCCAGGATCTGCGACACACTGGGAGAATGGAGGGGAGGGAATTGGTGGTGGGGAGAAGCAGGCGAGACCGTTGGTAAGGAGACTGAGGGAGGGGCTTAACTTTGCAAGGGTCTTGCAATGTAAGAGAATGCTGAATGGCAGAGGACTCACGCGGCGGGGTTTTGGGAGAGCGTCTTTGCCTGGTCGATCAGCACCCCTCCGCGCACATTGGAGAAGAAGAGAGGGCCTATGACCAAGTAGAAGAACTTGCCTGAGGCCGCCAGGTCAATGCCTGCCCGTGCAGCGATTGGGGATCAGGTGTCCAGGCGTGGGCCTTCGGTTCAACCGTCAGCAGCGTAGCATTACAGGTTTCGGGTACAAGGGTTCTTGGAGAATGCTTGACTCACGCGGAGGGGTTTTGGGAGAGCGTTTTGGCCTGGTCGATGAGCACGCCTCCGAGGACGTTGGAGAAGAAGACGGTGCAGATGATGAAGTAGAAGTACTTGCCCGTGGCCGCCAGGTCGATGCCCGCCTTCGCCGTGTACCCCTCTGCTGTCGACAGGAACGTCAGCAGCGCGGGCAGGATCGCCAGGAAGATCTTGAGTGCGATACCAGAGAGAATGCTCTTAACGAACGCGTTAATAAAGGGGCTGATGGGGGGGTTGGGACGTGGAGGGGAGAAGGAGGGGTGGGGGGGGTGCGGGAGAGCAACGAGAGGGTTCAGATGCGTGGCGGACTCAAGGATACGGTTGATTTGATGCAAACCTCATCCGATCCTGAGTTAAACCCTATCTAAACCCAATCCAACCCTTGGGGATTGTGATGGAAGTCAATCTGAATTCAAACGCAGACAGACAGGCGGACACCACATCGCCTACATGGCAACACCAGACCACTACGTCTGAAGCCACACTGAGATGGCCAGGGTCCATAAACCCGAAACTCTAGCACACATCAAGAATGGGCTCGAGGAACAGCGCGGCGCTGGCGAGCTGATCAATACTCGCTAGCGACTGCACGAAGCCCACGGGGCAGGCGTACTCTAGAATGATGGCCAAGCACCTTAAACCCTGGAACCTAAACCCTTCAACCCCTAACCCTACTCACACGTTCAGAATGGGCTCGAGGAACGGCGCCACTTTGGCGAGCTGGTCAATATTGGCCAGCGACTGCACGAAGCTGACGGGGAAGGTGTACCCCAGAATGATGGCCAGCACGATCCCCGCCACCATGATGCGCCGCAGCATGAGGCTCACGTACGGCATCGGCAGGTTCTCCCACTTGACATCCCGTTGCTCCGGCGCCCACACTGTGATCCACTGCGAGCTGTCCTTGGACTGCAGGGTCTGCGCTGCGACCGCTGCGCCCCACCGCGTGCGGAACGAGACAAACGCGGCCGGCATGACCGAGGTGCTGTCGTTCACCACCTTCTCACGCTCTTGCAGGATCTGACGTGGGGGAGGTGGGTGGACGGTGGTGATTGAGAGGGGGGGCAGAGGTGGAAACTGGTACTGGTTTTTGAGCCGCCTCGAAAACAAGGCCAGGCTCCGTCGTTCGCCGCCTTCTCACACGCTTGCAGGATCCGAAGTGGGAAAGAGGGGGCGGACAGGAGGGGACGGGGGGATGGAGTGGAAGTTGATGATCAGCTTGGAGCTGCCCTACGACAAAAACGTGACTGAGGTGCCTAGGCACACAGCCACTCTGAGGTGCTGTCGTGCACCACCTTGCCTCATTCTTGCAGGATCTGAAGTGGGCTGGAGCCTGCCAGTCATTTATACTCTTTTCCGAAGAGCTATTACTCCCGATATCAACTGTCAATGATTTATCTCTATCTTCTGCTCGTAGAACTGTATTGATTCCACCCGTGTGCCCATCATCCCGACTCTTTAGGCAACTCAAACGTCGACTTTCAAGGCGCCTCAAAACCTGTTACTTTAATCTCCTCTATCTCTGCCCATGCCTCCTTAATCTCCTCTGTCTTCTGCGCAAATGCCTCCTTGAACTTCTCTATCGTCGTCCCACATACCTCCTTCTTAATCTCCTCTATCTTCTGCTCGTAGTACTGTATGGAGTCCACCCGCGTGCCCATCATCCCCAGAAATCCATCCTGCAATGATTGGGAGTGGGAGGGAGAGGGGAGCAGGAGGAGAGTGAGGGGGGTGTGAGGAGAATGGAGTGGCGAGAGCGAGGTGGGTGCACAGGAAGTAGGCTTCAGGGAGTCAGGTGGTGGAGGGAGAAGGGTTCAGAGGGAGTAGGGTGGTGGAGGAGGGGGGAAAGAGGAGCACCAGGATGGCGAAGAAAGGTCATCTCAGGGGATGCCAGGCCCCCCTGCAACGGGGCTGGCTGGACGTGCCCACATGGAACCTCGGTTCCTTTCTCAACTCAACTCACCTTGAGAGTCGGGAGCTGTTATCAGAAGAAGGCTCTCCAGCCACTGTGTGCATCCCACCCACTTGGCTCACCTTGTGCATGGGGCGGACGCCCTTCTTCTCAAGTTTGATCTCCATCTCAATGAGCTTGTTCCCCAGCCACTCCCTCTTCGTTTCCAGCGACGACAGCTTGTTGGCATTGTACACGGGCTGCCAGGAGGGTAGAGCAGGGGGGGGAGCAGAGTGGGAGAGCAAGGGGAAGAGCAGGGGGGGGAGCAGAGTGGGAGAGCAGGGGGAAGAGTGGGGGGGGAGCAGAGTGGGAGAGCAGGGGGAAGAGCAGGGGGGGAGCAGAGTGGGAGAGCAGGGGGGAGAGCAGGGGGGAGAGCAGGGGGGGAGAGCAGGGGGGAGAGTAGGGGGGAGAGCAAGGGAGAGGAGGGGGGAGAGCAGGGGGGTTAGCAGGGGAGAGGGGTCGTTGCAAAGGATACTGTGGGAAGAAGAGCGCACAGCAGGAATAGAAATAGCTTGCTGGCGTTGAACACAGGCTGGTAGGGGAAAAGGGGTGATGGGACGTGCGACAGATTCAAGAGCACGGCACATAAAGTGAAAGGGCTTGTCAGAGCGGACACATGCTGGCAGAGAGAAGAACAGCAGGGAGAAAATTAGCAGGGAGAGGTAAGAGCAGCAGGACACGACGAAGAGCAATGAATAGCCATGGGTAGGTGGGAGCAGGCCATGGCAGCGAAAAGAAAAGAAAAGGCACACGCGAAGACTAGTACGTGAAGGAGATGGAAAGGGCTGGTCCGCAATGCGCCCAGTCTGGCAGGGCGAAGGGGGCATGGGGAAACTTGCTAGCCTTCGCACAAAGAGCACCACCACAGGTGCGGGAGGCACCAGCCAGGAGGGCAAGCATGGAGTGCGTGCGGGGTAAGGGGGAAGCAGAAGCGTGCTGGAAGAAGCAGGGGACTGGGGTGATCAGAACGGGTGATCAGAACGGGTGATCAGAACGGGTGATCAGAACCCACCTGAGTGAGCAGGTAGTGGTCCGAGTGGTTGACTGAGAAGAAGTGATCCACCGTCTCTGGGATGGACTTGATGGGGTCTGATGGCACCTGCCGCACCAACACCTGAAGTGGAAGGGGAACGGGTGGCAGGGAAGGGGTTGAGCATGCACATCGCAGGGGATTTAGGCTTGGAGGAAGGATGGTATACTAGTGCAGTAAGGGACCCAGAGATGACTGCAGTCTCTTCTCCGGACTGAAGGTAACTGCGTCTGGTCAGGGGGTGCATGGGCTACGGAGGGTCAACGGGACACTGTGTGAACTGGGTTAGAAGCGACGAGAGACCAGCTGGAGGGGTGAAAGGGGTTCGAGGGTGGGACGGTTGGTATAGTGCCAAGAAGTCAAGTGCCAGGAAGCAGATCTTCGGTTTTTATTTATTTCTTTCTTTCTTTTTTCTTTCTTTCTTTCTTTCTTTCTTTTTCTTTTTTTCTAGTCGTACAGTGAGTTTGATTGGGCGCTCTCTGCTGGTCTGCACGGAAGTCCAGGCGCATGTGAGCACTGGTCTTGAAGGGTTCTAGCAGCATGTAGAGCACCCGCATGTATAGCTTTGAGGCACCTCACACCAAGACTTAGTATCACACCACGTGAGGCTTACAGTGAACTGGTTGGGCGCCCTCTGCTGGTCCGCGAGGAAGTCCAGACGCATGTGGGCGATGTGCTTGAAAGTCTCTCGCATCATGTACAGCGCCCACATGTTGAATACCCACGCCATCACCACATGCGCCCACAGGCTGCAGAGGGGGGAGAGAGAGAAAGGGGGGGGGGGAGGGGAGGGGGGGAAAAGAGTGGGGTATTGAAGGAGTCCCTCAGCAGGTACAGCGGCCACAGGCTGCAGGGGGGAGAGAAGTCGGGGGGGGGGGAAGAACATGAAGGGGGGGTGGGAGTGGGGTGTTGGAGGAGTCTCTCAGCAGGTACAGCGCCCACAGGTTGAACACCCACGGGGAACGAGGGGACTCAAGCGCATTGGAGCCAATACCTTACCTGGGCGTACCACGTGGTGCCTTGGCTCACTCGGGCGAGCCATCGGGCTCGTTGGCAATGGAAAGTTTATCAATTTCCGAGTAATCAAAGAGCTTGGCCTTACTTGTTCTGCGCGTGCACCTGTTGCTGCGCTTTGAGGAGCCTCAAAGCGGTGAACAGCCTCACCTGAGCGAGCCGTCGGGCGCATTGGCTTGCCTTGTCAAACCTCACCTGGGCGACGCATCGGGCACATTAGCAATGGAGAGCTTGTCGATTTCCGAGAAGTCGAAGAGCTTCGCCTTGGCGTTGCCCGCGTCCACCTGCTGCTGCGCGTACGCCGCCTGCGCCTCCAGCGACCCGCCCGTGAAGTTGATGGGGAACAGCACGGCCGCCGCCAGCAGCAGGATCGGCACGAAGATCTTGAATCTGGTGGATAGGAGGTGGGGGGGGAGAGGAGGGGGATGGATCGGGAAGATTGGAGACTGAGCACGGCGGCCACCGGCAGCAAGATCGGCACGAAGACCTTGAGCCTAGCGGATGGGAAAAGGGACACGCGGATGGACGTGGAGCATTCATGGGAAGTCGCAGTGTCCTTGTTGAGAGTGTGTGAGCCACCCGAGATTTGGCGTTGCTCTGAATCAATCCGTGCCTCTGAGACCCATCCGATTTTGAGGCCCACCCGATTTTGAGACCCACCCGAGTTTGAGACCCACCCGAGTTTGAGACCCACCTGAGTTTGAGACCCACCCGAGTTTGAGACCCACCCGAGTTTGAGACCCACCCGAGTTTGAGCCCCACCCGAGTTTGAGCCCCACCCGAGTTTGAGCCCCACCCGAGTTTGAGACCCACCCGAGTTTGAGACCCACCCGAGTTTGAGACCCACCCGAGTTTGAGACCCACCCGAGTTTGAGCCCCACCCGAGTTTGAGCCCCACCCGAGTTTGAGCCCCACCCGAGTTTGAGACCCACCCGAGTTTGAGACCCACCCGAGTTTGAGACCCACCCGAGTTTGAGACCCACCCGAGTTTGAGCCCCACCCGAGTTTGAGCCCCACCCGAGTTTGAGACCCACCCGAGTTTGAGACCCACCCGAGTTTGAGACCCACCCGAGTTTGAGCCCCACCCGAGTTTGAGCGCGTGGAGGAAGACGACGCTGTCGAGCCCCGCGTGCTTGATGAGCTCTCGCTCGGGCATGGCGAGCGCCTCCTTGATCCAGTCGAAGGTGTCGGCGTAGTTCCGCAAGGAGCACTCGATCCACCGCCGCTTCTTCACCGTGTGCCCCTCCACCTCCGCCTGCTCGTGCTTCTCCGTCGCCCCCTGCGCGCCGAGCCACATGAAGAAGAAAGACGCTAACAACTGAACTGCCTGACTGAAATTTTTGTTTTAGGGTCGGGCGGATGCAGCGAGGTCGGAACTAGGAGAGGGTGACGATTGGCTTTGTGGGCTACTGCGTTCACGTGTGGGATTCACCCTTGAATGGTTTCTCGAGCTATTGACAACAATAGCCATTGCTATGACTGGTCTCAGCTCCAATCTTTGCCCAGGCTGTCGTCGCGCGTTGCATCGTGCCAAATCATTATCCGACTGATGCCATTTCGTTCCTATATATCCCTCGCGACTTCTATGCTCGTATTGTTCGCATTGTGCACTACTCCTCGCAACTTCGCGCTAATGTTCGTCTTATGCACTTCGATCCAGGTTGCGAAGAAATATCAGGGAGGCAAGACGCCTCTGGTAACTACTAGGAGCTGACTTAGTAAAACATAATTTGAGATGCTATCGGCTCGAGTTTCTTGAAACATCGCAAACAGGAAAGGACAAAGAAGGCGAGGGGCGAACCTTGTCGTCTAGGCAGAACCATTTCGTGTAGTAAACGCGCGCATTCAGCGGCTGTTGCGAGAAAACCGAGTACAGAAATAGAACGACCAGCGAAACCCCCAAGTTGATGCCGAACGACACTCCTAAGTCCGCGAACGTCACCCCCATTACAGTCTTGGCTTCCTCAGGTGGACTGTAGACAAGTCACGAATTGTAACGGGACCGAATAATAGATCAGAGCCACTTCAACGTCGGGAAATGCTGACATGAACGACGGCACTAATTGCAGGTTTTGTGAGAACAAGACTGGAGGTGTTCTGGAGTCAGTCTACTTGCAAAGCAAGATGGGGGGATCGAGACGAGAGTGGGGGAGACAATGACAATCTCGAGGAACAAACGTCTTAGAATGATGCTCTGGGAAGGCGAGGCGACCTCAGCAAGGATCTCATTCTCGGCTCGACAGGATTCCCGAGGGCAGACGGTTTGGTCCTTGAAGTGGCCCAAACCGTCAGAAAAAGGTTGATTGGCCGTCTATTTGATGTTGCGGTCCGCGTTTTCTCGATTGGGAGGCTGCCGTGCGTGACAGGGATTGATGAAAGTTGGACGGCCAAGAGACGCCAAGAAGATGACTGTGGTCCGCCATTCGATTCGAAGCGCTCGAGGCGGCTTCATTTTCAGAGTTGCCGCCAAGCCGCCGAATCGGCCCACTTGGTGGTCTGGAACAGACCGACATGCTCTGATTTGCATAAGCTTAGTGCATTTGACATGGAGTTTACCAAGTGTACGGAGCCTTGTGAAAGTGCAAGATTCACAAGTCATAAAGCATGGATAATATATATGAAATGACAAGTTCGTAAAAAAGCATATGATATGAATAAAATTCTGGGATCACGTTTCAAAAAGCAAGAATGCAAACGGAATGTCTCAGCTACAGCGCTCGGTTGGAAAATGACTAAGAAACAATCAATTATAGACACGCAATTTGTCTAAACAATACGAAGTAGATGAATGCATGAAGAGGGTTGAGGCAATTAGATCACATAAATATAACATAGCATTTTATATTCTGGCATTATCCTTCAAGCGTCACATAAAACCTGTCGTCTCTGGTAACACGTCAGCGGACGTCACACCTGTCGTTCGCGAATTGACGACAGATCTGGTGGCTGGCCGAATACGCCCTCAAACAACTCTGTCACAAGCATGTTCTGCTCTGCTTCTCCACTCGTTTCATCTTCCGGCTGCGACCAGCGACTCCTGTTGCCTTCGTCGCTGCTTCTTCCGTTTGCCCCCCTCCAGCTAGCCAGCGGCCAGACGCCATGGACGCGATTTTCGCGCGGCTTTTCCCCGCTCCCAAGGGCCCGCACCCACAGGGTTCCGGAGACGGCTCTCCCGATCGGCGCGGGAAGGATGGGCGGCGAGGAGTGAAAGCGAGCAACGAGGGCGTTCTGCGCGCTGGATTGCTGGCCGGTAATGATCGCACGCGCTTTCGACATTGACTTCGTGGCAATAGAAACAGGAAAGATGCTCCCCCCCCCTCTCCCCCTCCCTCTCCCCCCCCTCCCCCAAAATCCTTCTTCTTGCTCCGCCTCCTCGTTCGCTGTGGCCTCTGGCCTCTCCTCCCCGCTCATCGCCACAACTCTCCTCTCTCTCTTGCGTGCGCTTCGTTCGGCCTCTCTCTCACGTTTCCCCCCCTTCACTCTCCCAGCCTCCTCCTTCGCGGTGGGCTCGGGTCTCCTCCTGGCCGCTCATCGCCACACCTCGCCTCTCGCCCTCGCTGCCGAATCCACCGACACGCAGCAGCAGGTGGGTGGCGTCGTAGTAGAAAGGGTTGGGTTGTGTTGTGAGGTGAGGTGGCTCGGGTTGTTGTTGTAAGGTGGTAGGGTGGGTTCTGGTCTGCTCCTCACAGCTCACATCGCCACGCCTCACGCCATTCATCGCCACCGACCCACCGACACGCAGCAGATGGCGTTCTGGGTTGGGTGCTGTCGTTGGGCGGCGTTCTAGTAGGGTAGGTGACGCCCATGCGTGAGGAGTTTATTTTTGAGGCGCCTCAAAAATAGACTCCTCTCGTTGGGCGGCGTTGTAGTAGGGTAGGTGACGCACTGACGCCCACCGATACGCAGCCGCGGGTGGGTGACCTCGGTTGTATCTTGCCTGCCTGCCTAGGGGCAAGACTGGTGGGCTCCAATGGCGACCTCCCAAATCAGAGCATTAGCGCCACTATTTCTTGCTGCTGCTTTGATGAAGGGAGCAGAGCAGCATTGCCTATCCTTCAAGCAACCGTTTGACTGGATAACGCAGCCTTTGCTGCTGTGCCTGCCTGTCAGCCGACCTTGTTCGTGTGAAGAAGGTATTTTCTATACTTTTCTCTAACGCACCAGTCCACACTCAGTCATTCTCCCATACTCCCGCCCCACCCCCTCACAGACCACCACCATGCTGCCACTTGGCAGCCTCTCAGTGGCTGTGGCTGATGCGGCAGCGGCGCCAACTGTGCGCGAGCCGAGCACAGGCGTGGAGTTCCCGGAGTTGCTGAGTGACAACGCGGAGGAGGGGGAGGGGGGGAAGAAGGGGGAGGAGGAGAAGGGGAAGAAGGGGAAGGGGAAGAAGGGAGAGAAGGTGGTGACAGGGGATCGCACGCTGGCAGCTGTTGGTGTTCGCAACAAGAACCTGCTGGGGATTAAGAACATTAAGGTGTATGCCTATGGTGAGTATGACCTGCCGAACTCCTAAACATTAAGGTGAATGCCTATGGTGAGTACAAGGATGCATGGGGTCATGGCATGGGCAAAGTGTGGCAAAGCAGCACTGCATGAGAGCATGGACTAACGGTGGCTTGTTCTTTCTAGAGCATGGACTGCACACATGTTAAATATTTGGCCTTGTGCCATCATGCCAACCTGGCGTACTACCATCATGCCAACCTGGCATAGCAGTAGGCAGCGATATGCTGGGTGGGTAACGTAACGGCATAGCAGGTTTGTCGTATAAGGTCCTCCTCGCATTGTCCAGCACACCTGCTCTTAACACTAACCTTCCACCCGCGAGCTTAGCACCCCCCTTCCACGCAGCTCTGAGCCTTTCCCGACTCTGGCGTTTCCACCCCCCACCACCAGGTGTGTTAGCGCACGAGCCGGCATGGAAGATGAAACTGGATGCAAGTATGGCCGGATGAGCGAGGACGCTCTGAGGGTGACTTTTTAGAGGTGACTTTTGAGTCGACTCAAAAGTCACCTCTGGCCAGATGAGCGAGGACGCTCTGAGGGGCAAACTGTGCCCTTGCGCTCTGAGAAGGCTCCCAGGAAGCCCTTGCGCCCCTGCACCCCTGCTCCCTAACCCCACCCCCCCCCCCCCAAGCACCAGGTGTGTCTGTGGACGAGCCGGCGCCCAATCAGATGCTGGCCAGCAAGTGTGGCGGGATGAAGGAGGTGGCGCTGACGGGTAATCATGCACCTTAAAGCCCACCCTTGCACCCACCCCACTCCCCCCTGACCCCAGGCGTGTATGTGGACGAGCCGGTGTAGCGGGTGCTGGCCCGCAAGTACGGCGGGACGAAGGAGGTGGCGCTGAGGGGCAGCACTGGCTGGTGGAAGTTGTGATCGCTGCTGACGTCGCCATGGGTGTGTGTGCGCTGAGGGGTAGCGGTGCACCATAATTCCCTCACCCTCCACCCCACCACCAGGCGTGTACGTGGATGGCCCGGCGCTGAAGAGCAAGCTGGCCAGCAAGTACGGCGGGACGAAGGAGGTGGCGCTTAGGGGCAGCCGATGGCTGGTGGAAGATGCCATCGCTGCTGACGTCACCATGGGTGTGCGCCTCGTCATCTTCTACAGGTGATGGGCGGTATTGTGCTTAATGCGGATTGAGTTATTGATCATGTCACTGCTGAAAATACCATGGTTGGGTTGGGTCATTACCATGGTTATTATTGTTCATGCTCTGGATGATTGGGCCATTTGTGGCATGTCCTTGCATGCATGTCCTTGCATGCATGTCCTTCCATGCATTCCCTTCCATATGTCTTCCATGCCTATGTGCACATTATGCTGGCACGTGGTGCCAGCATACAGCACGACTAAGCCTTGCTTTCTAAAATGGCCGATAGCAGCCGTCAGATTCTTGCCCATTCCCTCCTTTCTCCGCCCTTTCAGCTATGGTTTCCCTCCTCTCTTTTCTCCATCCCCCGTGTTCCACCCTCCCAGGCATCTGAAGATGGGGCAGGTGCGGGAGGCGTTCAACGAGTCACTGGGGGGGCGCATGAAGGAGCTCAGTGGGGGCGTGCCGCAGACAGAACTGCTGCACAGGTGAGGTGGATGCGATCGAGAGGTGTAGGAATATCACGATAGAGATGTGTTAAGAGGTTCAAGGGCCGCATGAAGGAGCTGCATGGGGGGTTGGCGCAGACAGAGCTGCTGCACAGGTGAAGATGGATGGAAATCTACCCTGCGCTTTGTACATGGTTCGTTTTGTTAGAGGGTCAGAGGCCGCACGAAGGAGCTGAGACAGAGCTGCTGCACAGGTGAACCATGTGCTGTTGCAGCTGGATTGAGCCTACACGAGATATACCATGTGCTTGTGCATTGCTTAGTGTGTTAGAGCGTCAGAGGCCATATGAAGGAGCTGAGTGGATGGGTGCCGAATGTTTTCATCACAACAACGACAGGATCGTGATGCATTGAACGAAGTGGAGGGTGAAGACATTTCGCGAGAAGTTCAAATTTGGATTGGGGCTTGTTACACTATCATATTTCTTCTAGAGAAGGACGACGCGGTAGTGGAAACGAGAGTAATGAGTAAATAATTGTGGGTTGTTAGGTAAGCTTGTGCTATTTTTGAGTCGACTCAAAAATAGACTCATCACACACGTGTTACACTATCATGGTTCTTCTAGGGCAGGACGGCGCGGTAGTGGAAACGAGAGAGTGTCTAGGCTGATGGCCGCTCGACACAGACAGCTGCCAACTAGTGAAGGAGAGAGCTGCGTGGTGGCGCGTTTGTCAAGCACCCTCCATGAGATATCATGGTTAAAGGAGCGGCGTTTCTCGCCTTGCCTTTAACTGTAGCATCTCCTGCTTCACATACGCGACCACCACAATCCTTGCCTTTTGAAGTTGGCATGAATTAAGGAGGGGAAACAACAAGTAATATAGGGGAGGCTGATTCTTAGATCTATCTCACGGATTGACTTGTTCCGCTGATGGATTACTGATGGATATGGCGAACCATGTCTTGTCATCCAGCCACTGGTCTCCGTGTTTTTCTTTTCCTTCCCTTTCTTTGCCCCCCCTTGCTCCTTTCCAACCCTGCAAACCACATTTGCCCTTTCCTAACCCATCTTGCTCATCCCCCCCATCCACACCCCCACAGTCCCACCAAGGGGTTGACCAACGATGTTAACCTGCATCCCCGTTACTGCCATACTAGTATCCCAAACTCCACCCTCGCACCCTGATCTGTCTCTCTTATGCTATTCCCCCCAACCCTCTTGTTTACGTTCACCAAGTGATTCACAAACGGCATCAAGCTGCAGAGTGTTTTTGAGAGTTATAGAAACAGCCTGTTTTCTTCCTTCTATTCCCTTGACTCCGTCCCCTTGGTCAGTTTCACCAAGTGGTTCACTAACGACATCAAGCTGCACAGAGGCACCGTCATTGACATCACACGCCGCCCAGGCCACGTGCTAGAGACAAAGAGTAAGATCGCTAGGGACAAAAGGTGAGACCACTCAGGACGGAAAGTGAGCCTGATTGAGGCACTAGGTGGCTATAGGGGCAAGCGGCAAGGTGCAGGCAATGTGTAACGGATAAAAGTCATGTCGCATGGGCACTCAACAGTGTGGCCTGGAGTAAACTAGAGGAGTGGAGGCAACAGCGCACGTTGATATGCCGTGCTACCCCCTGCTGACGGCACGTTGATATGCCTTACATGGGATCCGCCAATGCGCTCGTAGCATCACGAGCTCGCATTCACGACACGGCCTTGCCATCTGAAAGAGCGCAAAGAAATGCCATCTGAGAGGGGTGGCATTTCTTTCACTCGGTGCCAACCCTCTCTGCTACCCCCCCTCCCCTCCCTCCCTCCCGTCACCCCCCCATCCACTCCAGTCGACGGCATGTACATGGGATCCACTAAGAGTGCGCTTATATCTCGGGCGCTCTTTGAGCTCTATGTGGGGGACAAGCCATTCGACAAGAAGGCGCGTGAGGGACTTATCAACAAGCTCATCTCTGTCGTCCACTCCTAGGGCCCCACAGTCTACTCTTGATGCAGACACGTGGTTTTAGTAGCAAGCACCGTGCGCGCACAGCAGCACTAGGCGTTCCTAGCAACATGAATGCTCCCCGCAACTCGTGGGGTGTTGTGCGTTCTAGAGGCTCTTTATTAAGGCTCTTTTGATTATTTAATTCAGGCTCAGCATTACTACCGGTAGCGGATCTTGGGTTGGGGGGGCTCTAGGTGTTAACGTAGAAACGAATGATTACTAGAGGTGGAAACCTAGAACAAATACTAGTTGGTTGTACTCACTAGAAGCATACCTCAGTCTAGCCTATAACTTCTACATAGATAATATGTATAAGTTGACACACCCCCTAGGCTGGACAAGGGGTGAAACTAAACAAGAAGCAAACAGCTCAGGGCGGCACTACTAGTCCAACCACTGAGGCAGGGGTCTGGAGACCAGTCAGCAAGAATACAACCAAAACTGAAGCAAGCCAGGGTGGCACTACTAGTCCAGCCACTGGAGGTAAGGCCACAAGGCCAGTCTGACAAGCATATATAATAGAGAGTACACAATCAGGATCCTAACAGGGGAGCAGCTACAGGAACAAGACCAAGCTGTACACAGTGCCGCTGATGATCTTTAGGCGCAAGCGCCTTAGTAAAGATATCAGCTGTGTTGGCACCTGAGGCCAAGTGAACTACGCGGGCCTGGCGGCGCTGCTGTAGCTCGCGCAGGAGGAAGTACCGCAGCTGGATATGCTTCGCTCTGCCCTCAAGCCGAGGCTCCTGACACAGGAGAATCATGGCCCTGTTGTCAGCGTACAGGACCGGGGCAGAGCTAGGCCGCTCACCTAAGTCTGTGAGCAAGAAGGTCAGCCAGCGGAGCTCCTGTGCCGCCATGGCACCAGCGTAGATCTCAGCCTCACAGCTAGACTGAGCCACAGACGACGAGCGAGTGGATCTCCAAGAGATAGCACCCGAACCAAGGCTGAAACAGTAGCCCTGCGACGACCTGAGCGTCTCAGCGTCGTCTGCCCAAGAAGCGTCTGTGTGCCCAGTAAGGACCACTGGCCTGCGTCCTCCTAGCACTAACCCCATGCCTGATGTACTAGCAAGATAACGCAAAACCCTCTTAGCGGCAGACCAGTGCTGAGGTCGGTGTCTGCCTGTAGCCACAAAGCGAGCCAGGATGCTGAGAGGGTATGCGAGATCTGGGCGAGTGCAAGTCATCAGGTACATGAGGCAACCCACCAGCTCTGCGTAGGGGCCACTGGGCCCTACTGGCTCCTCAGGAACGGGAGCAGAGAGCCCATGGTCTACGGGTAGAGGTGTGGGCTGTGCAGAGGAGAACTGAAGACCGAACCTCTGAAGGACCTGACGCACCAAGTGTGACTGGGTCAGAGTGATGGTGCGTGCTGCTCTGTCCCTAGAGATCTGCAGGCCAAGATAGCGACGCAGCTCTCCAAGGTCAGTGCAGGTGTGTCTCTTCAGCAGCTCAGCCTTCACAGAGGCCAGTGCGTCCCTGTCAGGAGTAGCGAAGACCAGGTCGTCTACGTAGACAAGGATGTAGAACGGAGTCTGGCCGGAACGCACAAACAGTGAAGGGTCAGCAGAGGACGGAAAGAACTGCAGGTCTGCTAACGTGGCACGTAGCGTGTCGTGCCACTCGCGGGGAGCCTGACGCAGGCCGTAGACCGGGCGCCTGAGAAGCCACTGGGTCCCAGGAGGGAAGGTACCAGTGAAGCCCTGTGGTCGGCGCAGGTAGACCTGCTCGTGTAGGCTGCCCTGAAGAAAGGCAGTAGAGAAGTCGAGGGAGTGAAGCTCGTAGTCACGCTGTGCTGCTACGTGTAGCAGCGCCCGAAGAGTGGTCATCTTCGGGGTCGGGGCGAAGGTCTGGAAGAAGTCAACCCCCTCGCGCTGACTGAAACCTCTGGCCACGTAGCGCGCCTTGAAGACAGGCGGCTCTCCAGGGGGGCGCTTCACCTTGAAGAGCCACCGACCATCGACTACGTTCACCCCAGGCGGGGGAACTGCGTCGACGTAAGTGCCGGTGGATCTCCAAGATGCCATCTCCTGCTCCATGGCAGCTATCCACTGAGAGGCCCAAGGTCCCGAGGTGGCCTCAGCGTAGGTGCGAGGGGTCGGGATGTCGAAGGCGTCTGGGTCACCCTCAGGGACTAACAGCATGGAGCAGAGATGGGGAGCAGCCTCGGAAAGGAAAGCCAGCTCGTACTGCCTGTCCTCTAGGACGTCACTGCCAAGGGCAGGAGCACCCCCGACGGACAGAGGACGGGCAGGGTCAGAGACCAGAGCGGTAGCGTAGTCAAGGCGGCGGGTAGAGGCGAAGTCAGCGACAGCAGCGACAAGCGCGTCAAGGCGCGAGACAGGAACAGCAGGGTCGGTAACAAGAGAGGCAAGGACCCGAGGGACAAGGGGACGAGCAGCACGGAGGTAGTCAGAGAACGGAGGAGGTGCAACAGCAAGGGACGAGGGAGGAGGGGACGGGAGGAGGGGAGGACGAGACGAGTGGGAACGGAGCAACATAGGGTGGGTGGGCAGGACAGGAGAGACGAGACGAGCACGGGAGGGACGGCGAGCCCAAACGTGAGACGGAGGGGTAGGGTCAGGGGACAGCGGAGGAGACACAGGAGGGGAACGAGGAGGAAGACGGGCCGGAGACGAGTCTGGCGGCGGGAACACAGGACCGTAGACAGGAAGGTCAGGAGGCGGTGGGGGAGACACCGGCGCGCGGTCCGGGGAGGGAAGGCCGAGCAGGCGGAGAGCGGAAACCGGCGGCGACGGCTGCTGCGGCGGCGACGACGGCTGGGCCGGAACTCTCGGACCAGCAGAGGCAGAACGACCGTCGGCAGAACACTCAACAGCAGCACCCCCAGAACCAGCACCCCCAGAGCGAGAACCCCCTCCAACACCAGCGGCACCCCCAGAAGCCGCAGGACGAACACCCTCCTCCACACCAGCACCCCCAGGGGCCGAGAGCAGCGGCGGCAGTGGCGGCAACGGCTGCGGCGGCGGCGACAGCGGCGGCAGCGACAGCGGCGGCGGCGGCGACGACAGCGGCGACGGCGACGGCGGCGGCAGCGGGGTCGGCGACTGCGACAGTGGGGGCGGAGGCACCGGGGAAGGGGGACGCTGCAAGGACGGACCGGGGGTACCACCAGAGTCAGCAGACTCCTCAACGGGGACAACCGACGGGAGGGGAGTGACGTGGGAGACACCAGACGGGGCAGGACGAGGCGGAAGAGGGGCAGGGGCTACCGGGGGAGAGGGAGCCAGGAAAAGGGGGGGGGCAACTGGGAGACCTCGGTGAGGGAAGCGGCGGTAGAAGGAGACGGACTCGTCAAAGGTGACGTCACGAGAGTGGAGGAAGCGGTGAGACGGCGGGTGGTAGAAAAGCCAGTCAGACGAGTCCAGGGGGAAACCGAGGAAGAAATACTAGTTGGTTGTACTCACTAGAAGCATACCTCAGTCTAGCCTATAACTTCTACATAGATAATATGTATAAGTTGACACTAGGCCCCTTCGGGGGTCCGTGTCCTCGCTTCAGGGCTTTAGGTTTAGGGTCCGTTCCCTTGGGGCTTAACGACTTCTAGACCTGGGCTTGTTTTAGGATTTCCAACGTTTCAGCATCCGAAGTGTGCATGTTGGTTGGTTTGTGGTGCACCATGACAATTGTGTTAAGATAGGAAATTAGGAGGGAGTAAAGGCTGCCATGAAAGTGGCGGCAGGTTTGAGCTAGGAGAGTAGGAAAGTGTCGAGAGAGGAGAGTGATGGGACCAGGGCCTATTTTATCAGAGTAATTTACTCTGTTTCTCTGAAAATCAGAGTCGTTTTTAAAAACTACTCTAGGGGCCCTGAGTAAAAAAATAAATTATTTGTTTTACTCTGATTTTATCCGAGTAAACCTTTGTACCACTCTGATGGTCCGTGTATAGGGGGTACCGTATATATGTGATTATGTTCCTGTCCCCTATACCTAGCTGTGCCCATGTGTCCCGCAGAACGCGTCATGTCACACGCACCGGCGAAATCATTGTCTGGTCCGTGCTCGAGGTTGTGTGAGGGTGCTACGGTAAGTGTTGTTACAGTGAGAACGAATGATAACTAGAAGTGGAAACCTAGAACAAATACTAGTTGGTTGTACTCACTAGAAGCATACCTCAGTCTAGCCTATAACTTCTACATAGATAATATGTATAAGTTGACACACCCTCTAGGCTAGACAAGGGGTGAAACTAAACAAGAAGCAAACAACTCAGGGCGGCACTACTAGTCCAACCACTGAGGCAAGGGTCTGGAGACCAGTCAGCAAGAATACAACCAAAACTAAAGCAAGCCAGGGTGGCACTACTAGTCCAGCCACTGGAGGTAAGGCCACAAGGCCAGTCTGACAAGCATATATAATAGAGAGTACACAATCAGGATCCTAACAGGGGAGCAGCTACAGGAACAAGACCAAGCTGTACACAGTGCCGCTGATGATCTTTAGGCGCAAGCGCCTTAGTAAAGATATCAGCTGTGTTGGCACCTGAGGCCAAGTGAACTACACGGGCCTGGCGGCGCTGCTATAGCTCGCGCAGGAGGAAGTACCGCAGCTGGATATGCTTCGCTCTGCCCTCAAGCCGAGGCCTCTGACACAGGAGTATCATGGCCCTGTTGTCAGCGTACAGGACCGGGGCAGAGCTAGGCCGCTCACCTAAGTCTGTGAGCAAGAAGGTCAGCCAGCGGAGCTCCTGTGCCGCCATGGCACCAGCGTAGATCTCAGCCTCACAGCTAGACTGAGCCACAGACGACGAGCGAGTGGATCTCCAAGAGATAGCACCCGAACCAAGGCTGAAACAGTAGCCCTGCGACGACCTGAGCGTCTCAGCGTCGTCTGCCCAAGAAGCGTCTGTGTGCCCAGTAAGGACCACTGGCCTGCGCCCTCCTAGCACTAACCCCATGCCTGATGTACTAGCAAGATAACGCAAAACCCTCTTAGCGGCAGACCAGTGCTGAGATCGGTGTCTGCCTGTAGCCACAAAGCGAGCCAGGATGCTGAGAGGGTATGCGAGATCTGGGCGAGTGCAAGTCATCAGGTACATGAGGCAACCCACCAGTTCTGCGTAGGGGCCACTGGGCTCTACTGGCTCCTCAGGAACGGGAGTAGAGAGCCCATGGTCTACGGGTAGAGGTGTGGGCTGTGCGGAGGAGAACTGAAGACCGAACCTCTGAAGGACCTGACGCACCAAGTGTGACTGGGTCAGAGTGATGGTGCGTGCTGCTCTGTCCCTAGAGATCTGCAGGCCAAGATAGCGACGCAGCTCTCCAAGGTCAGTGCAGGTGTGTCTCTTCAACAGCTCAGCCTTCACAGAGGCCAGTGCGTC